AGCTCTTATACGGAAAATGCATTGGGTGTTATTACACTTTCTCTGTCATAAGTCAACGTATAAATAGAAAAAACCATGTGCCATATTGATGCATGTAACAATGTATTTTAATGTCAACAGTGTATTGCACCGTGTGCAAGGTACAGTACTAACACCTGCAAATCATGTCCCTGGCCAAACTTTTAATTGCTCTCTTCGACCGATTTCGTACCTACATTTTATTGTATAGCTACGTGTTTTGACAACAAATATTTGCGGTATTGTGGCTTTTTAAAACCATAAAAACTTGCAAATATTATCTTAAATTTCCTATGCATGATATATGAAATTAATTCATATGTTTGTTGATGACACAACACAGGAAAGGACTTCCTTTGTATCATAGTATCAGTCTGAAACATACATTTCCAATGACATAATTGATAAGAGAACGAACTGGCTTTAATTTGATTCCATATTTTGCATCTTTTTTCGCATCGAAAGTGGTTAGATTGCACATTGTTGTGTTTATTACCTCTCAGCATCCTTAATCCCCAAAAGCTGTACAACTTTTAGTTTCTCTCTCTCTCTCTCTCTCTCTCTCTCTCTCTCTCTCTCTCTCTCTCACACACACACATATTCTTGTAAGGAGTTATAATGTGTCTTTCAAAGCAGTTTACCTGAGTACCTTCACGCTTATTTCACCACTTTGTCACCTGGGAAATCGTGTAGATGTTTCTTGATTATCAAGGAAAATAGAACAAATTAACTTGAATTCTGTACAATTTCTTAAATTTCCGTATTATGCATACACGGTAGATTGTAACTCTGAAGGATCAGCAATAAAATTTCTATAACTTCTATTTAAAGTTTTCATAGTTGACTAGAAACAAGTTATTGCAATTATTCTTTTTATGGAGAAATTTATTTGCAAATAAGAAGTCGTTCGCAAGACGTACGATAATTAAAATACAATTTAAGTTTAATTTATAGTTCTCCTTTTTAAATTTCAAAGAAACAAAATTAACCAAGTGATCATATATAACCCAACAGTAACTGATGTTCCGTGGGTATTAATGTGCACAGCACAGATCAAACGATAATTCTACAATACTATCTCAGGTTATGTCTGCAGCGTAGTAAAATAGTGCAAACGGGCTGTATTTCTAACTTCTATAAAACATTTCAATAATAGGACTACAGGGTGTTGGGCTTTTAATACCGTTATTTATTGCGTTCATCTATTGTTTAAATCAGTTATACCACACACATAATCTTATTATATTGATGTTTAATGCGTTTGAAGGTTTTTAAATGTATGTATACTTACCTACTTCATTTATCGTAATTCTAAAAGTGCGTTCTACAGATGGAATTACGTTTAAATGGGAAAGTACTTGTATAATGGAAGAACGAAATGTACGATGTATACTTTTTTTTCATTAAAAAAAAACAATCAAAAACATTTTCCAGTACATAGATTCTCTATGGCGATTAAGATTTTCCTCGTATCTTTTGGTGGTACCTAATTTGTATGGTTTCAAAATTACAGATTGCTTTTAGTCTAATTTTTCACCAAACGAAGTTCGGTTTATATAATTAATATATGTATCCACGAATATGTTCTAATTTTCGTAGCCACACTCCCATTCTTTTTTTTTTGCTGTGAATGCGACATTATATGTATAAAGATAATAAAATTATATACGTTTGAAGAAAGTTCGACAATGTCGAACGCTATTTGTTGTGTTGTAAATATGTTTCTGGCATTTTTACGATATCATTTCATCCTACTCGTTTATGTCGTTAACCAGTATCGATTCACATGTCTTTAGAATTATCTTTTTGCTGTTTATGAAGCATCATTTTCAGGCGATTCGACACTTATGAAATTTGCTTTCTGATTGGTTGTTTTTCTTCTTTTATTTTTTTCATTTTCAAAAATATATCGCCATCTATTGTACCGAAATATTCAATAAACTAATTTCACGAAAAAAGAGTCAAATGAACTAACAATATACGAGCTGGTAAGTACATTTGGTAAAAGTTTTTTTTTAAGTAGACTGCTTATCGTCGTTACTATAACTATACTCTGTGGGTTTACTAACTCTGAAAATAAACTACTATTCCGTCCGTGCATGTAGTAAGCGTATATGATGTATGAATTTGCAGGAGTTATTTTATGCTCTTATCGATTTTTTCTTGTTGAGATGTCTTTAAATTGATGTTTCTGTTCTTCTTGCAAAACAAAAAAAAAAAGGCATCACAGGAGCAATCCAAAGTCACGAGAAAAAAAAAGATGAAAACACAAAGCAAATGAAGAAGATGAAAATTTTTGTCCACAAAACGTTAAACAGAAGACTAGTTTGAACAACAAGAACCGTAACGAAACTGGTTATCTGGATGCGTAAGCAGATCTAGTGACCAGTAATATTCGATGATAAGACATCATAGAATAGCGGAATTTCATTTGTGTTTGTCTCAGCTTTTGAGTTTAACTAATTATAAGCCATCATCACAGTTAAATTTCCATCCCTTATACATTGGCGAAATGAGATGTAAAAAAACGAAGGACGATAAAAACAAGCCTATGACCGATTGAAGCAATGCACAAATACGAGATGAATTATTTACAAACAATTAAAAACTAAACCAAGATTCTAAAAATATAACTGTTTTAGATTATTAGTATGTATAATCAAGAGTTCCATCTATAGCTTCAGCCACTGTTAAGATTTTTTAGGATTTATTCGTGATAAATATTGACGACTTCTATAATTGTAAAAAATCTTGTATTACTTTTCTCTAGATGTAATATCAAGAAGCTTCAATAGGTAAATGTATACGTTTCCTGTGATGACGCTAATCCGACACTGTTTGTTTCCAAATAAGTTTTAAGATATCATTGTAAGTAATAAAACATATGTAGTAGTTCCATTGATTGATGTTTATCGTCGAACGAGTAAAATTTCAATTATTACCATGAATGAAAGAAGTTTTAATGTGGAAATGTATCTAGCTTTTCAATTGTCAAGGATGGCGAGTTAGTTTGTCTCTATATTTTTCTTGCATTTGTGAATCGCTTTTTCATGTATAATTTCAACTTGATAGACCAGTCCATTGTCTTGCTTTTTTTCCGACTGAAAGTTTTTTTTTATATTTTATCTGGTCCAGAAAGTCAGTGCTTACAATTTCCGGTTGTATACCTGCTGGAGTTTTTATAACTGAACGGTTTTCATCTCATGCTCTCTACGGTTTGTGTATCATACTACGAAATTTATTGCCTGTAATAGCATAAACATAAATTATGGTGAATGTAGTAATACATCATACATAAACGTGGAATATAAATCAAATATGGTTCATTTTAAGTGATTTATTGATATCAGTAATGTTTTTGTTCTTTTTTTTCCAAAAACCATTGTCCTAATTAGCGATCATTACATTGTTTTTATAGACGACATTATATCTGTACAAAAAGAATAAAGAAATAATTTGTCAAATGGTATTCATACATCAATCTTTAAAACAGTTTTGAATCATCTTAAGGACATAATTACAATAAACTTCAATTTTTAATTAATTTCACAATCAATGGAGACTATAAATGTCATATATTACAAGACAGGTTCAATTATAGCATACAATGTTTCAGGCATGACAAACAAAGACCATAGTATGAAATTATTCAAGAGATATTATTTTCAAATCAAAGTACATATACAAACATTATGAATCTAAAGGTGTTATGGAACTTCAGAGTCGTCTCATTGTGCTTGCATTGCCCCCCCCCCCCCCCCCCCCCCGCATGCAAAAAGTAAAATAACAAATATACCGAACTCCAACGGAAATTCATAACGGAAAGTCCTTTTTAAAATGGCAAAATCAAAATTTCCAACATATCTAACGAATGGAAAACAACTGTCATATTCCTGACATGGTACAGGCATTTCCATATGTAGAAAATGGTAGATTAAGCCTGGTTTTATACGTCACAGATATTGATGAGATATAAGTATCAGATATATACATAACAAACAGATTTTAGTCTTGTTAGTTAACAGAGTAAATAAAATAGAGTTAAGACGGTACAACAGTGACAAAAACTTTTACTAATTGAACATTGGAGATAACTAAATGTCAGAAAGAAAGAGTGATCGATTGAAAGTTGATTGCTCAAAGTCGTATCAAGAAAATTGAACTCTTCCAACTGATCATTCTAATGTTGATTCCCGATAAAAGATGTTTAAAATTAAAAAAGCGAGAGAGAAAAAGTTCAAGAGTTTGGGAAAAATATGCTTTTTGTTTTTATTATGTTGTGTTCTTCCAATGGTTGGAATATGTAAAACACTCATGAACATGAGAAATGTTAAAATATTGAAAATTTATAAACATAATTTCAATAATTTTAAATACTTAAAATATGATTTTGTTTTGGTGTAGTTCTTCGAGGGTTCATATTAACTATTAGGTATAATTAAGAGTATAGAGAAGATTCAACAAAACTAGTATATGTGATCATTTGGATTTCCAACGGTCTATTGAAATCTTAAAACAAAAAACATTTTATCAAAGAAGTCCGTCATTGACCACCATATTACAATGTGTCTGCTGTAGTATTTGCAATTTACATTGTTAAGGTAACAAGGGAAATCCTCTGAGCCAATCGTTTAGAAGAAATGTATACCTTATCCTATGTCAACCATTTGTTCCTTGTAAGAATTGAATTTGTCAAGCATAACGAAGCCAAATGAAGTGTATAGAATTTGTATTCTCCTGTTTTGAAAATATGTTACTATGTGTGCCTAACTTTCAATGTACTATTATTTAGCTGATTTTAAATACTAAGTAGCGTGAGTCATTATTATTATACCATAAATTCCCACTCTCTCTCTCTCTCTCTCTCTCTCTCTCTCTCTCTCTCTCTCTCTCTCTCTCTCACTTACGTTACAATTTTATATCGTTCAACTTGGGCTTTGCATAAAAATTAAAGCAAAACATATCATTTCTTTTTTATTCAGAATCTAACCCTACCAGTATTAGGAACAAACTCAGGGAAACTGCTACCTCGAGGTAGGTAATATTAGAAGGTTAAGGAATTTAGATGCACTTCACCATTTTTTGTGGTGTAAATATTTGCAACTAAATAAAGTACCAAACATCCATGATACATTAACGTGTTAGTGATATCATTAAGTAAAGAATGACAGACATACATTATGAGTCAGATGTGACTAGTGCTTCCCACAAAATGAAATGCACCTTAACAGTACAACTGATCTCGGCAACAAGTTTACTAAATATCTTTAAATTTATCGTATATTAAAAAGAAGTGGACACAATATAAATCCCATAAATCACTCACACCATCCCCGTGTCAAAACCAATATTGAGTATCAACTAAGACGCGATAATAGGTAACTAGTCACAAAAGAGAGGTGAAAGATACCAAAGGGTCATTCAAACTCACAAGTCGAAAATAAACCGACAACGCCATGGCTAAAAAAAGAAAAAGACCATCAGACAAACAACAGTTCACAAAACACAACATAGAAAACTAAAGACTGAGCGACACGAACACCACCAAAAACTGTGTGTGATCCGAGGTGCTCCGAAAGGGAAAGCAGATCCTGCTCCACGTGTGGCACCCGTCGCTTTGCTCATGTAACTACAAATCCGGTGATAAGTCTAATTCGGTAGGTCACATTCGGTAACTAGAGGCTCTCAAGAGGCTGTGTCGCTCACCTGACTCTACTTTGGTTTTAGAAATCATGTAAAGATAGATAAAAATCATAACAGATACCCAAATAATGATTGAGGCCAAATTTGGATTAATATTGGTCCCGTTATTTAATAAAATATCCTGGTGGCCATCTTGAACAGTAAATCGGCAACAAAGTAGCCACACTTGGTCAGCACTTCATAAGGAACATTCATGCCATGTTTGGTTTCATTCCATTCAGTGGTACTCTAAAAGAAGACATTTGTATGTATTTCCCATAGGGTCCTATGTTTAACTAAGCCCCACCCCCACCCCCCTAGCGGCCATCTTGGACGATGGATCGACTGCAAAGTAAAAACACTTGGTCAGCACCTCATAAGGAACATTCATGCCATGTTTGGTTCCATTCCATTCACTGGTTCTCTAAAAGAAGACAATTGTATGTATTTCCCATAGGGTCCTATGTTAAACTAAGTCGCCCGCTGTCGGCCATCTTGGATGATGGACTGACTGCAAAGTAACAACACTTGGTCAGCACCTCATTAGGAACATTCATGCCATGTTTGGTTTCATTCCATTCAGTGGTTCTCTAAAAGAAGACATTTGTATGTATTTCCCATAGGGTCCTATGTTAAACTAAGTCCCCCGCTGGCGGCCATCTTGGATGATGGATCGGCTGCAAAGAAACAACACTTGGTCAACACCTCATAAGGAACATTCATGCCATATTTGGTTCCATTCCATTCAGAGGTTCTCTAAAAGAAGACATTTTGTATGTATTTCCCGTAGGGTCCTATGTTAAACTAAGTCACCCACTGGCAGCCATCCTGGATGATGGATCGGCTGCAAAGTAACAACACTTGGTCAGCACCTTATAAGGAACATTCATGCCATGTTTGGTTTCATTCCATACACTGGTTCTCTAAGAGAAGACATTTGTATGTATTTCCCATAGGGTCCAATGTTAAACTAAGTCCCCCGCTGTCGGCCATCCTGGATGATGGACCGACTGCAAAGTTACAACACTTAGTCAGCACCTTATAAGGAACATTCATGCCATGTTTTGTTTCATTCCATTCAGTGGTTCTCTAAAAGAAGACATTTGTATGTATTTCCTATAGGGTCCTATGTTAAACTAAGTCCCCCGCTGGCGGCCATCTTGGATGATGGACCGACTGCAAAGTAACAACACTTGGTCAACATCTCATAAGGAACATTCATGCAATGTTTGGTTCCATTCCATTTATTCGTTCTCTAAAAGAAGTCATTTTTATGTATTTCCCATACGGTCCTATGTTTAACTAAGTCCCCCGCTGGAGGCCATCTTGGATGATGGATCGGCTTCAAAGTAACAACACTTGGTCAGCATCTCATAAGGAACATTCATGCCATGTTTGGTTCCATTCCATTCAGTGGTTCTCTAAAAGAAGACATTTGTATGTATTTCCCATAGGGTCCTATGTTAAACTAAGTCCCCCGCTGGCGGCCATCTTGGATGATGGACTGACTGCAAAGTAACAACACTTGGTCAGCACCTCATTAGGAACATTCATGCCATGTTTGGTTTCATTCCATTCAGTGGTTCTCTAAAAGAAGACATTTGTATGTATTTCCCATAGGGTCCTATGTTAAACTAAGTCCCCCGCTGGCGGCCATCTTGGATGATGGACCGACTGCAAAGTAACAACACTTGGTCAGCATCTCATAAGGAACATTCATGCCATGTTTGGTTCCATTCAATTCAGTGGTTCTCTAAAAGAAGACATTTTTATGTATTTCCCATAGGGTCCTATGTTAAACTAAGTCCCCCGCTGGCGGCCATCTTGGATGATGGATCGGCTACAAAGTAACAACACTTGGTCAGCACCTCATAAGGAACATTCATGCCATGTTTGGTTTCATTCCATTCAGTGGTTCTCTAAAAGAAGACATTTGTATGTATTTCCCATAGGGTCCTATGTTAAACTAAGTTCCCCGATGGCAGCCATCTTGGATGATGGATCGGCTACAAAGTAACAACACATGGTCAGCACCTCATAAGGAACATTCATGCCATGTTTGGTTTCATTCCATACAGTGGTTCTCTAAAAGAAGTCATTTGTATGCATTTCCCATAGGGTCCTATGTTAAACTAAGTCCCCCGCTGGCGGCCATCTTGGATGATGGATCGGCTACAAAGTAACAACACTTGGTCAGCACCTCATAAGGAACATGCATGCCATGTTTGGTTTCATTCCATTCAGTGGTTCTCTAGAAGAAGTTCAAAATGTAAAAAGTTAACGCCGACGACGGACGACGACGGACGACGCCGGACGACGGACGACGGACGCCAAGTGATGAGAAAAGCTCACTTGGCCCTTCGGGCCAGGTGAGCTAAAAAGGGGACGGGATTATAGTTACGACAATTGGAACATATTCGTTGTCATCTGTGAAACGGATATTCCGTAACGGTCAACTAACTCGTGATGGCGTCCGTAAAATTTACGAAGGGATGATTTCAAATTCTTACCTTGGAACTCTTGATTTACTAGCTTCCTTGTGAGCAGCCACCCTCTATCAAGGAAATCATGATAGGAAATACAAGCCCTCGAATATCGTATCAACTGAGAGATATATACTCCGTATGCAGGCGCTGCTTGAATGTTGCTACATAGAAATAGAAAGTTCACAATTAGGAAGCTGAAATCATCTCTTTTGTCATGAAGTTTTATTTTCAACAAATTAGGGTTTCGATTTAGTAAAAAAGAGGCAGAAGATACCAAAGGGATAATCAAAACTTATACATGGAAGAAAAATTAACAACGCTATGGCAAGAAAACTAAAGGCGACAAAATACAAACGAGTCCACAAAACACTACATCATAAAACTAAAGACTAAATAAAGGCAACAGTAGTATACCGCTGTTCGAAACTCATAAATCGATAGAGATAAAAACAAATCCGGGTTACAAACTAAAACTGAGGGAAACGCATCAAATATAAGAGGAGAACAACGACACAACAAAAACACAACATTAAAATGTAACACACACAGAAACGAACTATAATATAACAATGGCCATTTTCCTGACTTGGTACAGGACATTTTAAGAAAAAAATGGTGGGTTGAACCTGGTTTTGTGGCATGCCAAACCTCCCGCTTTTATGGCAACGTCAAACACAACACCAAAACGACAGCATCACATGACAGGACCACAATACAAATAAATGGGAGAACATATAGGACAAAGAAACACACGAATGATAGCTAACAAAAGGTACTAGGCTTAAAATTCAATACGCCAGACGTGCGTCTCGTCCACACAAGACCAACCAATGACGCTCAGATGAAAAAAGTTTGAAAGCCAAAACAAGTATAAAGCATCATGAACTTTCAGTTAGTGAAATCGTCTTACTGAGAACAAGCACTTACATATTCTGTCAACTGAGATTTGTAAACGCTATAGGTTCAGGCAGAGGGTATAATTACCTTTCTAGAATAGATGGTTGACGAAAGGAAACTTAAAATCACGGCGTTTGTTATAGATCTATACCTTCATTTGCTATCAGCTTAAATTTCAAGTTAAATAAGAGACATAAAGCAATTGCAATCTTCTTGTCTATGTTGTTCTGTATTGACATAAACTTGATAAGTTCAAGTGCAGGGATAAACGATATGAATGAAAGTACTCACTGAGAAGATACAAAGGACATGGTATGTCTTGTCAGAGAAGGTCTGGTTAAACTTGTGTTTCAATGCGTTCAAGACCAAGCCGGCTAACAGGAGAGCGCAGTTAGTAGCAACGAATAAAAGTGCACAACCAGTATGAAATGGGACATTCAAAAATAAGTTTAGGCTATCTGTGACGGAGGGATAGTATTCTCGCCTTTTGTAATTAATCAGGACGACTACCGAAGTGACAAATTTATAAGGGACCAGTAATCAGAAAGTGAGCGTTTCGAGACCGACCAAAAAGAAAAAAAATGCCAGGACAAATATAGACTCAATACAACGATCATTACAAAAAATTGTGAATTTCAATACAAATCGGGTCTGATATCATGCAGATATCATGAAAAGATAAGCATAAAAATCATGTACGTTTTTGCGTTTCTCCCATTTTGAATTCATCATTCAGGATAAAAGGGAAAAACCAAATAAATAAATTAAAAATATAAAAGCAGAAATACGTAAAACAAAACGACAAACAAGCGCAAACATAAATAACACTAACCAGTACTATTGCATTGGACGCTTTAAATTATAATTTAAAAATAGAGGTGGTAGATACCAAAGGGAAAAAACGAAAAATGACCAACAGACAAACAGACAACACATAAAAAACTAACGACTACGCAACACGAAAACCAC